AAACCCCCCAAAACGGCGCCGCCCGGCTGGTTTTGGGCTGTCAGCAGCTGTCCGGCGCTGGGCATGGAGCGTGTGCGGGGAGCTGGGGCCGTGCTGGCGGTCCTGGTGGTGCTGGGAGCCCCCCCGGCTGCGGGCGAGGAGCTGTCGGGTGAGCGGGGGGGATGGGAACGGGGGGGAAAGAGGGGAGAAAAGAGGGGGTAGGAGCCCCAAAAGTGAGTGGGAGGGGGGTCGGAAGGCCCGGACTAAGTGGGAGAGGTTGGGAACCCGAAAGTGTGTGCGGGGGGTCTGGGGATTGTGGGGACGGTGGGAAAGGGGTGGGAGAGGGTGGAAAGGGAGTGTGGGAGAGCAGGCAGAGGGGTGCCTTGGGGGTCCCTGGGTGTCCCTTGAGCCGTGGAGCGGTTCCCTGGGGCTCTGGGGGGGGTCGGATCCGCAGTGGGGGGGTCCCCAACCTCCTTGTCCATCCTGGGGCACCGATGGGGGGGTTTCCCCCCAGCCAAGAGCCGGTGCTGGGGCGTCCGTGGGGCAGAGAGGGGTGGGAAAGGGGGGTCCGGGGTGGCCCCCTGAGCTCCCACCCTTCTGGGGTGGAATAGGGCCTGAGGGGCGGGGGGGGAACGGGACACCCCCTGCCCCGTGTCCTGCACACACAGGGGTGTTCCAGCTGATGACAAACCACGAGTGTCACTTCATCAACGGCACCGAGCTGGTGAGGTTCGTGGAGAGGCACATCTACAACCGGGAACAGTTCCTGCACTTCGACAGCGATGTGGGGGTCTATGTGGGGGACACCCCACGTGGGGAGATCCAGGCCAGGCACTTCAACAGTAAACGGGAATGGCTGGAGTACAAACGCTCTGCGGTGGACAGGTACTGCCGGTACAACTATGAGCTTTATGCCCCATGCAGTGTGGAGAGGAGAGGTGAGCGTGGGGCAGAGCGGGTCCCCTCGGCCCCTGCCCCGATAACGACCCTGGAGCCTTTCAAACCCTCTCTGGGAATCACCCCAGACACCTCAGCCCTCCCTCTGCCATTCCCCATGCCCTTTGGCCCCCTCCCAGTTCTTCGCAGTCCACTCCAGTCTCTCCCAGTTTCTCCCAGTGCACTCCAGTCCATCCCAATCCATGGCAGTCCATCTCAATCCATCCCAGTCCATCCCAGTCTCTCCCAGTGCCCCCCGCGTCTCCACCCCGCTGGGGCCACCGAGCTCACGCCCCTCAGCCAATCCCAGCGCTTCTCTCTGATGACGCTCCAGTTGCCAGACAGACCCAAAGCAAAGAGTTCCTTCACCAGGACTCAGCCTCCCAGTTCTGATCACTTCCTTCCCAGTCCAGACCAGTCATTCCCAGTCCCTCTCATTGCACTCCCAGACCCTCTCGATCCATTCCCAGACCCTCTCTGTCCATTCCCAGTCGTTCTCACTTCACTCCCACATCTACCAACTCTCTCCCCTGTGTCCCCCCAGCCCAGCCCCTTCTCCCCCACTCTATTCCCAGTCCCTCCCACTGCCATCCCAATCCCTCCCAATGTCCTACAAGCCCTCTGCCCTCCCTCCCAGTGCCCCCCAGCTCAGCCCAGTGTCTCCCCCGTCCCTCCCAGTGCCCCCCAGCGTGTCCATCTCGCTGGT